AAGAAGCAGCTAGCCCATGACATTACCAACACAGACATAACATCTAAGATGTTCTTCATACCGAAGCTCTTGCTCCCCAGTGGTTCTTCAACCTGTATGTGTGTGAAAGCAACCTGGAGGGTGTAGACAGAGACTCAGAGGTTCCATCTATTAACCGCAATTACAGGGCACTGAAGAGCTCTAGTGCCATGGTCAGGAGTCAGGAGCTACTCACTATTCTAGAGGGAAAGACCTTTGGTTGTTAATATCACAGAAATTCCTCCTGTATCCCTGTCCATCACAAATTTTTGAAGTGTTCTCCATATCTACCAACATATGACAACATATGACATATCTACCAACACGAAAGCTGTTCACTTCAGACCAATCTTTTTTGTAGTCACTGGCTGTACTTCCTGTCGTAATGTCTTGTGCTACTCATCCGACTTTCAGGCTCTCTTGCTGGAAACAAGCCAAATAATATTTAAACCTTAAGCAGAATTTAAGTCCATGGGTTTTTCTATCAGCTTGTATTTTAAATCTCATCATTTTTATATGAACTTCCCTCTTTTAAGGATATTCCTATAGAAACCAAAAAGTAAGAAATGCATCATTTAGAGCTGTGGGGTGAGAGGACGCGGGAGGCAGATTTCATTCCCTTCGAAATCAGACTGCCGGGGGACCTAACTATACTTCCGGTCCTTTTTTTTTTTGAATTAATATACAGTAGAATTGACTTTTTCTCTGTGTATAGTTCTATGAAATTTACTACATAAATAGATTTGAGTTACCACTACCACAAACAAGATACAGTAATGTTTTATTGCCTCAAAAACTCCCTCCTGCTATCTCTCTACAATCATACCCTACCTCCACCCCAAGACCGGGCCACCACTTACGTGTCCTCTACCACTATGGTTGTGCCTTCCGGAGAACATCATAGAAATGGAAGCATACAGAGTATAGCCTTCTGTCATAGTTGTCTTATGTATTATGTCCACACACATTGAACATGCCATCAGACGGTGTTGTATTTTTTGCTTTCAAACCATCAAAAAATAACAGAATAAAAATATTATATTTGCCCACGTATTTATCATTTCCATTGCTCTCTTTTTTTCTTAAGGCTCCAACTTTTCTTCTGGTATCATTTCTCTTTTTTCTGAAGAATTTTCTGTAGCAGCTCTTTTGGAAGATGTATGCTGGAAAACAATGAGAATTCCTTCACCTGAGAATGTCTTTAATTCAGGTTAATTCTTAAAGAATATTTTTCCTGGATTTAGAATTTGAGTTGACATTTTATTTTAGTACTTTGAAAATGTTGTTCCACTTTCTTCTGGCTTTCTTGGTTTCTGATGCAAAAACACCATCATTCCAATGTCCCCCGGTAAGTAAGGCATCATTTCTCTTGGGTTCTTTACTTTTTGAGATTTGGTTCCTTATCTGTAGAATTCAGCAGTTTCTTGTGCTGCATGTGAGTGTGCATTTCCTTAGCTTTATCCAGTTCAGGTTCACTGAGTCTCTTGAATCCATAGGTTTGTGTCTCTTGCTAAATAAGTTTTTAGCCATTATTTTTTAAAATATTTTTCTTCACTGAACTGTTTCTCCTCTACGTCTGAAACTTTAATAACAGACATGTTAGGTGTTTTGTTGTTGTTTTGTGGCTCCCTGAGGCTCTGTTCGATGGTGTTCTCTCTATTGTTCAGACTGGATAACTGCTATTTTCCTGTCTTCAAGTTCAGTGGATTTCCTTTGTCATCTCCATTCTGCTATTGGAGTATCCAGTGACTTTTTAATTTTAATGACCTTGTTTTTCAGGCCGAAAATTTCCATTTGGTTCTTTATATCTTCTATTTCCTTGTTAAGGCTTTCTAGCATCTCATTTGTTTCAAAAGTACCTGCCCTTATTGTTGGAGGATTTCAATCATCCTTGCTCTTAAGTGTTTTTCTGATAATTCCAACACCTTCATCATCTCTGTACTGGCATCTGTTATTGTCTTCCCTCATGTAAAAGGAGATTTTCCTGGTTCTTCATAGACTGAAAAAATTTGGATTGTATCCTGGACATTCTGAATATTGTGTTGTATTAGTTATCTCTTGCTGCATTACAAATTACTCCAAAACTCAGTTGCTTGAAACAGCATTTATTGTCCCATTGTTTCTTTAGTTTGGACCTAGTTGAGTCCTCTGCCGTGGGGTCTCTCAAAGGGACAAGCAATATGTTGTCTGAGGATCTGTGATCTTATCTGAAGGCCCAATGCAGCTACACTGGTGGTCATTGGCAGCATTTAGTTCCTTGCTGGCTGTTGAACTGAGGACCTCAGTTCCTCTCTGGCTGTTGACTAGAGGCCACCATCCGTTCTTTTTGACATGAGCCTCTCTCACATGGCAGCTTGCTTCATCAAAGTGTGTCAGCCAAGAGGGCAATAAGTTAGAGTACTGAAGATAGAGTACAGAGTATAGAGGCAGAATACGCAGTATGGAGACATTGCACATTAGCAAGACAGAAGCTAGAGTGTTTTATAACCCAATCAGGGAAGGGATAGCTCAAGATTTTTACCATAGTCTCCCACAGTTAAGGGGAGGATGTATGAAAACCAGTATCTGGGAATCATCAGGGGATATCTTAGAAGCCTGCCTGCTGGTGGAAGCAACCCAAGCGTCCATCGATGGATGGATGAATAAACAAAATGTGGCGCACACACACAATGGAATCATATTCAACCTTAAAAAGGAAGGAAATTCTGACATATGCTATACAACATGGATGAACCTTGACGACATGATGCGGAGTGAAATAAGCCAGACACAGAAGGACAAACAGTGGATGATTCCACTTATATGAGGTAACTAGAGTCATCAAATTCATAGAGACGGAAAGAACGGCAAGGGAAATGAGGAATGGGGAGTTCGAGTTGAATGGGTACGGAGTTTCAGTTGGGGAACACACAAAAGTTCTTGAGATGGATGGTGGCGATGGTTGCACACCAGTGTGGATGTACTTTATGCCACAGAACCGTACACTTAAACATTATTCAAATGGTAAATTTTATGCTTTGTGTATTTAACACCACAATTTTAAAAAAAGAAGTCTGCCTACCACACATGTTATGAGATTCTGGGTCTTGTTAAAATCTTACAGAGAATGTTGATATTATTTTTAGGAGGCATTTGACCTAATTGGGTTTAGGCTGCAAGTTCCAACCAGCCTTCTGAGGGTGATAGTTCCAGCATCAGTTCAGTGTCCAAAATCATTACAGCACTGTTTGGATCTGTCCCATGTGCGCACCACCCACCCAGTAGCCAGTTTGGGACATAGTTGGCCATCTATCCCATAACACACTTCTCAAAGTCTGTGCTATGCAGGGTCAGCCCTGGGCATGCACTCCTCAGGGGTAAGCTCAGGAACTGCTAACTTTAACGGGTCACTTTCCCAAGGACCTCCCTCTCCAGGTCTCCCTGGAACTTTTCAGCCTGGCCTTTTCCGTCCTCTGGCTGCAAGGCTGGTGTTCTGCCCTACACCTGCTGTCATCGCGCTCACCTCCGGGGCCAAGTGGTGGGAGGACAGATGCAGATAAAAAGCAAAAGTGAACTTGCCACCTTCTTGGGACAATGGCTTCTCCACTAAGGCAGGAGGATTCCCTCCCACAGAGTTTTCACCCCTGATGGTTCCTGCTGCCACTGCTGCTTATGTGGGTTTGATGTAGGCATAAGAAAACGGGGAAAAAAAGAAAGAGGAATAGGAAATTTCTCCCTCTCTCTCTGAGCATTTGCTGTTTTCTTCCCTACTCCTTGACTGGAGGAGGGTTTCTTCTAGAGACCTCTCTGGTCACCATGATGCCCACTTCTGGGTTGCGGATTTGATGAGTTTGGCCCAGGGCATCCTGGAGGGGGACAAATGGCAAAGTGCCGCTATTTCGGTGGGACTTTGGAGCCTGGTCTTCCTCCTCAGTGCTTCTGCTTACTGTTTACTTTTCAGAGCCCTCAAATGACTGACCCATGCATCTGTCTGGGTTTTAAGCTGCGTTCAGTGAGAGAGATGGGGTGTGCTTACCCCATTTTAAGGCTGGCTCTGACTTTGGCATTTAACAAAGGACTCCGTCCACCCTCTCACCCCCATTCCCCAATCACTCACCCAGTTATGCTATTAATATGAATTGAATGCCTACTATGTACCACAAACTATAAGGGCAAGAGAAACATTGCATCTTGAAGGTATTTAGAACACAATCCCATATGAGACACAACTTCCTAGACTTCACCTATATTTCACCTTCCTGGATTTCACAACTTACTGGCTTCCCACACCCCTCCCCTCCCCGTTTATGCTCACAGTAGATATAAGAAAAGTGAGTGGGTTTTGTGTTTTGCTGTTTCCTTGAGAAGGCAAGTACATATATAAGCCTGAAACCATCCTTACTTCCAAGCTCTGTGGGTGAGGCCGAGAACTTTGGAAAGAGTGATATTTTCAAACACACAGGTTTGTGGTTTTTGAAAGAACAGAAAGCATAAAAGCATAACATCTTGTAGGATTACTTTTGGCTGAAGACCAATTGATGTGACATCTGAAAATAATCAAATAAATGTCTTGTTTTGAGCCTGCAAATAGCTTTGTGAAACTTTGGGAGGAAATTCTCCACTTACGGAAAAAAAATAAGAAAAATTGAAATTGAGATCCTGGGGTAAGAACAAAGAAGGGGAATTCTGAGAGTGCTTTGAATTGTTAATAGCATTTATATTTGTAAAAATGAATCTCTCTAAAAAGGTGGAAGTGGCTAATAATCTTAAATCACCTCATATGGCACATGCCCCAAACCCTGATAACCTCCAAATTCAATTGCTTATAACCATTTTTGGTGCATTCCAAAAACTCGAAGTTGCTACACAATGCACGGAACTCTGGATTTAAAATTTCTGAAGCCCTTGATTCTTTTTTTTCCTATAAGCTCTTATATTTGGAAAGAAGTCACAGTGTAGTCTAACCCTGGAAGATCAAAATATATTGAACTTTTTTTGTAAAGATGATAACAGCCAAGAAAGCAAAACTTGAAGTGAACACGATGATGAAGAGAGTAAAGAAAGGTAAAGACAGTGCTGAAGGTGGCATTCATAAACGTCCCAGCGCTGAAGGGAGAGGCTGTGCTTGAAGAAGAAAAAGTCTGCTAGCCAAGGTAAGACAAACTAAGACAGGTTGGTGAGGATACTCTGAGGCACAGAAAATTCAATGTTATCAAAAACCCAAGCTCAAGTTAGGAGAGACTGCAGTAGAGAAACTTCCCTCTTGCTTCCGTGGTTAAAGGGTGACTTAGAGTTCCTGCACTATTTCATTAATATACAAGTCGAGTGTTGCTAATATCCAGTGGGGATGACAGACAGTTTTACTTTGTGAATTTCTGGTTTCTAATGATGCATTTGAATTTTATTTTTTACAGCTGTCCTTGTCTTAATCCTTTACTTTTTTTCTCCCTGGGGTTTAATGGTTTCTAGTTACATATCAGCATTTTAAGCAGCATGTCACCCGTCAGGCAGCACATGGCTTCAGATGGTTATGGCATTTGGGTCACCACTAGTTCTCTGGAAGGACAAGCGCTCCTGTGAACAGCACAGCAAACTCCCTCGTATGATTGGAACACGGCAGCGCAGGTTCAGGACACACGCTAGAAATACAACCAAATGCCTTTTGCAAACAGCAGCTCAATGAGGATTCCTGCCACGAGGCAAAATGCTTGGAAAGTTACTATGCGCTGGCATCACTGGGTTTGGGGTCAGCATGCTGAAACCGGGACTCATTATGTTCCTACCATGCCAACTTGGTGCAATTAGCCTAACATGATAATTTCCTGAAGCCATATGTTGATCTTTAGGGGAGGGAAAGCTTCATACGCCTGATGGCTCTAAGCTCTGACTGGCATGTCCCAGCTTCCAGCAAATTTCTGTAAATCAGGATAACACATAGCAATCAGAGATGAGGTCAGATGGCCAGCCTGGCCAGAGAGAAAACTTAGAGCAGGGTTATGTACTTGTTGCAGAGTGGGGCTTTTTCTTTTCTTTCCAAGGAGGGTTTCAGAGAAAGGTCATAGGGGTAACACTGTGTGTAATGCTGTTCCTCCCCACCCCGCCCCCGCCCAAATCAAATCAATAGAAGGACCTAGAACACAATAAGTTATGTTCCAGGGCTGCATGGCCTGTATTCCCATTGGAGACCTATCAATGTGAACTAGCACTGTTGGGAAATCTCCTCAGCTACCCCTGTTAATCAATACCTCTGTTCATTATACAGCTTTGATGAATATGGGTAATGATTGGGTGCCCAAGAGTCATGTGACTAAAAATAACTGCTCCTTACTGAGGATCAATAGATTTTTCCCCCAGTATTACTTCAGGCAATTCAATATTCTCTGCTGCCCCTCCCCAAGCCCCCACCAGTGTGATCCTCTCTTGTCTTCATTGATAGATCAGCTCTGGCCTCAGAGCAGCTTTATTAAATTAGTAGCACTTAATCTACTGTCATAGTGTCAACTGACATGGGGCAAACTAGCAGGCAGCAAGCCTTCCAGTGGCTCAGGAGAGCAAGTTGCCACAACCCAGGCAGTTTTGATTAGCTTTGTGCCAAGAGCTGTCTTCATGGGTGCCTCTTCACTAAACAGGAGTATTTCCATCATTTAATAGCATTTAAAACAACTTTTTTTGTTCCCAAGGAGGAGGAGGAGCTATTTGAGGGAGAATTCTTGCCAATTACAGACTTATTATGACAGATGAAAAGATCGTAATTATACTTGGATTCCCTGCAGAAGTGCCTTAACACATCCATGACATCTAATAACCACATGCCTCAATGGAGGCTGACTTTTCCAAAGTTGCTTAACCTTTCATTTCTTTGCCGTCACACCAAAACCCATCTATGGGTGCTCAGAGAAATCAAGGAGGGAGACTCCATCAAGGCTAGGTGGCTGACATCCCTGATGCTTTGGGAGAGACACTCAGTCAGTGATAGCTGAGCCTGGGTAGCTCCTTACTGGGGGTCTGAGGGGTACAGGCAGCCTGTCCAGAGGCCTGGGGCCAGGGCACCGCTCTAGAGTCCAGATAGCTTAGGTGCCTTCGTTAGAGGCCAGGGAAAACTGGACAGGTGGGTAAGACAAGCTGGGGAGATTTGAGCAGATATGGCCCTGCAGATGGAGAACAGAAAATACTAAATTGAAGGGGAGATTTCAGCAAAAGTTATAGTCTTGTTTGGTCTAAGTTTTAACTTGGATTGGTTTAAGAAGTGGGGGTGATATTAAACACTGCTGAGTCAAAAGCATCTTTTTAAATAATTTCAACTTTTATCTTAGATATAGGGTGTACACGTGCAGGTTTGTTAGATGGGTGTATCGTGTGACACTGAGGTTTGGGGTACGAATGGTCCCATCACCCAGGTGGTGAGCACAGCACCCAGTAGGCAGCCTTTCAGTCCTCGCGCCCCTCCTCCTCTCCTCAGTGTTTACTGTTCCCATCTTTACGCCTGAGTGTGCCCAAGGTTTAGCTCCCAAAACGCACCTTCTCTATGCTTCATCCCATAGTCCCCGTGCAGGACGGCAGGAGGAGGAAATGTGGTTGATTATGACATCTTTCCATCTGCCAGTTTTATGTCTAGATTATAACAAGGACAATTTGTGGAAAGCTGCTGCCAAGAGACTATAAACTGAAAGACAAGCATTCAGTCTGAAAAAATATGAAGTCATTATCCTGGTGGCTGCTGTCCACCAATTTGAAAGGGTTGGGAAGAAAATTTATTTTTGAAAAGCTCAGGTGCAAAGACACCTAAGTTCTTCCTTTAGTCTTCTTTTCCTCAAAAGAGCAGGGGCAAAGGCTTTGGGAAAAGGACTTCTGGAAAGTCACAGAAAAGGCATCCCTGAAGGGATAGCTATGGGGAGCAAGACGGAGGGCAGTGTCTGCTGTGCTCCATTGGGAGTGGCCAGGACCTCTGCAGCTCTGACCCAGCTTCGCCATCTGAGCCAAAGATGAGCTTGGTCTTCCTGAGAAATCTATTAAATAATATAGTGGTTCAGTCCAAATAGGAGCTTGGCTCTGAGTTCACCAACAAGTGTGCTTAAATAAGGTGAATTACACTGTGAGCTTAAGGGCTGTTAGGTGTATTTTGCAAAGAGCTACTGGAGTGTGTGGAGGTTTCTTGAAATCAAAAAGGTAAGAAGAGATCAGTGACTGATAAATCTTTAATATAAAAATTGTACAAGAATTTTGATACAAATTACAAGAGGTATTTGGACAAAATATGAATAAAATTCCATTTACATCCCCAAACCCTTATGCATTTTATGCAAAAGACATACTGTAGGCAGTTATAGTACAGAAAATACAACCAAAGTAATAGCAAATTAAAAAATTTAATTACCTTAGACTACCAATAAAAACAAAAAGCAAAACAGAACCAAACAAAAATAAAACCCTTGTTCAAGGTACATACAGTATTTAGGAAGCTACCAACGTCACAATGATTAGATCAGGGCGATGCACACGGTCCCATCCCTTGATGCAGTTACCGTTTGTAGTACAGACTTTGATTCTGTGGCAGGCTTATTGGAAGAGACTGGTTTTATGCAGATGAGAACAATAGAAACAGACAAAAAGGAATAAACAGCTAAACTCTGGGAGAGGGAGAGGACATATCTTGGTGAAAATTCCTTTTCTTCAAGATATTTCAATTCCCTTTGGCCACTTTTGCTGTCAAATATGCAGGCTGAGTCTAATACTTTTGTTACTGGAGACACACCAATGGGTCTGGAGCGAGTAAGAAAGGTATGTGTTCTCCCAGCTGTGTGAGGGATCTTGTTAGTTCTAAAAGGCCTATTCCATCACCAGCAGGAGAGAACAGAGAACTTGCTTTCCCAGATCCCCAACCTGCCCCTTCCCCTTACCTTTGGGGAGACAGAAAAGCAGCAAGGACTTCATGGAAGAAGCCAGGCAGGGTGTGAGGGGAGTGGGGAAATGGGCATTTGCCTCACTTGGAAATCACGCACTGGTGTGTCAGTCATCCTCATACTGCTGAGTGGGCTACACACGAAAAGCCCAGGTCGTCTCAAGCCCAAGTCTTCTCCCCACTTCTCGACCGTCCTCACCCCTCTGACCTTCATGTACCCATGTTTAGCTCTCCTGCATTCTTTATACTGGCACTGGCAGGAAAATGGTAAGATTCTCTGCAGAGAAGCTGAACCAAAGTTTGCACAGGAAAGCGAAAGCACCATATACTAGAAATCTTAGTCTCATCAGGTTAAGATATAACACTAGAACATCTCATTCACTTAATTCACGTTATGTAAACCCTGGACAGGGCAGAACACATATTTCCAAAGCGAAAGCGATTAAAACCAGGATGAGGAAGGCGTGTTCTACCTTCTTGTTCAAACACGATTTTTTTATTTTAAGGGGGTTGGTGAGATCCAAAGAGCAAAGGGTGGGATTGAGAAAGACAATGGAAAAGTCAGAGGAGATTAAGATATACAATGAGAGGGACGGATTACTCTGTACAAAAACATGCAAAAACACTCCAGAATGGCTACTAGATTAAAAAAATAAAAAGTCAGCCTTGGTTGATACATCTCAAGCGAACCTATTAACTCAGCACATTGTCTGGGAGTTCAAGAGCATCATACCTCATGAATCAATGCTTATCACAGTGGCCACAGCACTGATTCACAGATGGGGTAGGGGATGCTTTGTCTCCTAGCATGGAAAAGGCAGGCAGTGAGGCTCCCACTGAAACAGTGCCGGGTCAGTTCACCTTGCAGGGACTGGAGCTTTCTCCCTTTTTTTGAGAACCATATCCAGGGCCAGATGAATGGAGCTCTCTCACACACCCAGGGTCTCCCCAGAGTCACCTCTCAATCCTTGCATTCCATGACAGAAGTGGGCAGAGCCAGTTAATAATTGATGGATTTGCCATCTTAGCTGTGCATTATCTCAACATCACATTTGGCAACAGGAAGCCTTATAAAATCTTGGTATAGCACTTAGATACTCTCTTTTCAAGAAATATACTTTTAATACTATCTATTTCTCTCCATTTTTCTTAAAATACCTCTTTCTGCTCTTCCTTCCCTTCAAAGATTCTTTTTTTAAAAAAGTGAAACAAAGCATTAAAAAAACTATTACAAATGTCCTTAAGCATCCCTGTTATTTTCGAGTTAAGGGGAGAAAGCTAAAATCGGCGAGCAGAACTTGTGCAATTTTGGCAACTGGGTTTTCAATTAAGATTCTATTAAGATGTCCGATAAACGATTGTAATATATACATACTGAGGAACTTAAGTATCATGTCAACTAACTGCCTTTGCTCTAACCCAAGAGTACTTGCTCAAAGTGCTTTTCTTTCCAGTCCTCAGACTGGTTCATGAAATTATTTAGCGCAGATTTGTCAACATAGACCTGTTACATTGTCTATCTCTAAATCTGCTGCTTTTCTCTCCTTGCTAAAGTTCACATGGAAGATGATACCGATAGCTGATGTGTCTTACCTGGCTGACTAGTATCTTATTGAAATGTGACTGTTTGTAATGGGACCAACTATCTTCTCTGAGACGTGCTGTGGGAAGGTTGGAAGGAAGCATGGCATCCCCTAGTTCCAGAAAGAAGACGCTCGATAGATCTTGCACTTCATTTAGTCACTATCTAGTCACTTTCCAACCATCATTTGAGTATTTCAATATACAAAAATAGCAGCCAATCCTGACACATTGTTTGGGCTCAAGGCATTTTGGAATATAACATTTTCATGTATTCTTCCTTTGTACCTTTGGTCCCCATCACTTGGTTTTCTAAAGCTCCCTGTACTTCTACTTACCAAAGTTCTTCGAAGTGGAGAATTTACCTTTTACCCATAGGGTGGTCCTTGTTTTAATGATTAAAGTCAAAAGCCTGGTGCCATCTTTTTTAGATTGTCAGTCCAGTTGGACAAAATAAAAGTTAATCTATCATGTTACACTATGGATTTGGAGGGGTCACTGAAAGATACATTTGTACATCTAGATCCATGGTTTGATGCCAAGGACAAGAAAAAAAAATTACCACTGTGTATAACCAGTTTACAACATGTACTTTTTGAAGGGGAAGAAAAATATTTGAATCTTTTCCCTACAAATTAGGGGGCAATATAATCTTACTTATGCCACTGACTTGCAGGAAAATTTGCTCTAATTATAGGGCCACATCCATTACTCTCAAAATGGAACTGCAATACTTAAGTTTTCAAAGAAGCAAAGGATGCTGTCACAGACAGCGTCTCTCTACTGACCCTTTATTTAAGAAGTCATCTTGTTACTGTCCACTTAATAGCTGGAGAGGGCACCGAGAGGCAGCCTTGGGCTTCCCAAAGACACAGTAGGTGTGTGTATGTGCTTGTGTGTTAGGAGGGGAGTACAACAGGGAAGAAGAGAGGAGAGAGAGGGAGAGAGGGAGAGAGAGAGAGAGAGACTGACTGATTGTGGATGTGTGTGTACATCAGGGAACTCGATGGGAAAGCCTAGCCCTTGTAGTCAATTTCTCCTTCACAAGGGGATAAACAGGCAATTACGCATCCTTTTATATTTGATGGCCAAGTGCTGAACTGGAAAGCACACTATTAGTTTGTGTCCCTTCAGGGCCAGGGCAATAAGTAGCCAGGAGAGCTGGGCTGAAGCAGAGAGGGTGTTGTCTGCTGTTAGTGTGACAGTCTTGTCAGCAGCGTTCACATTACTGGAAGGTAATAAAGTGACAAGTACGTTATTAGAAAGATATGAGGTGAAATTGAACTGAAGCTTCTTGCTACTCAGCCCTGGCTTTTTTCTTTCCTCTTTTGTAATGGTCCACTATTTGTTACAAACTGAGCCTTGTCTTCATACCCCATATAAAAAAGATATTTTTTTTCCTGCAGTAAAGGTCAAATGAATTTACAACAACACTTTAGAGGAGAAGAATAAAGATAGTTTTATGACAACTATAGTATGCTGCTCCAAAAATATATATAGCATTATAATGAACAATAATGCTGATCCAATTCAGTGTACATGTAAAAATGCTTAGTTTTTTTTAAACCTTCTGTTATTAAGCATTTGGATTTTTCAACAAATGCCAAAAAGACAGTATGTGACATACAGTTATTGCCGAATGACCACAGAAAATCATTTTGCGCAAGATGTGGGAAGGATGAGGATGATGACACAAGGAAGGACGGGTATGTGGGCAACAGTGATGAGAGATAACTCACTGGTCAGTTGTACAGCTGCATTTACATAGTACTGTTTGAAAATGACCATTTATGGTGAGCAACACTCCAGCCACAGGAAATATGCGACCGTCTGGGACAGATCAAACATGACCTTAGTACTAGCGCAAGCAAGACTACCACACGTGGTTTATCTCTGAGGGAAAATATGAAAAGAGAAGTTACTTGTTTATCTCATAGAACAGTAAATGAGCTCCCATTTTGACCAAGGTCTTTAGCCTAGTATTCATTACAATCATGGCTTTGTTGTGTTGCTACAGTGGCAAGCACGAGTGATGATCAAGAAAGGAATGATCCACGCTGGTGCCATTCGCACCTACTCCTCCATTAGGATGAAAGTGAGGTGTTACCACTGGCCTTTTCTATAGCCTCGCTGACCCCTGGCATCTTTCGGTTCTCAGGGGATTCCAGCAAGACTTCCCACTCAAAAACAAAGCAAAAGCAACCAAAACCCCACAACTGTTGGCTCTTCCTGACCCCAAAGGAACTTCAGCTATTCCATGCAGCTGTTCTTGCTTTCCTAACCCCTTCCTCAGAGCCGACTCACCTGGTCATGGGAACTCTGCAGGTCACTAGCATCAATATGCTCTCACCCACTGCGAGGCAGAGCTATGCCAGTCTCTTCCCTCAAGCCAACACTTCCAGTGCATTCCTGATTTCCTTTTCTAGCTACTCCCAAACCAGGGCAGGAACCGACCCTCTACTTAGTTGTGATGAAAACACCGTGATCCCTCCAGTCTTTTTGGTATCTTTTATTTCCCATCTTAGATCCATCCCAAAAAAATAAACAATGAGAGGGAAAAGCAAAACCACCTAATTTAAATATTTCAAGTGTGGAAGAAGATAAGTGATTTTAAAGAATGAAATTCGTCTGTCATAATTTTAAAAAAGAAGCTCTTAAGGGTGTGACCACAGGATGAAAGAAAGTTTCTTCTGGATGATTTATTTCTTGATGATAGCAGATGTAGCGTGTCTTATGACGGTTGAATTTTATTTACTGTGTTAGTCAATCTAACCCAATGCTAACAGACCAGATACAAGTTAGGACTGCTCAGGTCAAGCTGTCAGCAGTTAGCAGCATGTCCATCTCAATCTGGTGACTAGCTTCTTTATGTTTTAATTGTCAACAGCCCTCATTCTCATTTGCTTGGCACACATCTGGGGTGTGTACAGAGAAAGGGGAAAAAAAGGTCACATTGTATGTAGTGGGAACCTAGTGCATAGTTTCTCCTGAGTAAAATGAGGGGAATGCCTCTGGAACAGCCCATTCTTGATATATTCAAAGATTTTTTTTTTTCTTCCTTAGAGCAATGTACACTAATGGGGCCGTTAACCAGGTAAATGCCTTTCTCCTCTTACTGAAAGGGCCTGAAAATTCGTGACCAAACAAGTAACACTATGAGGACAGTGGCACCATTGTGCCAAAAAGGTTTTAAAACATGTTTGCCATGTTGAAAAGGAAAACGTTAACACCTTTAAAACTTTAAAAGGCATCAGGCTGAACAGGGCAGCTGGACTAAGATTTGGAATGAGTTACACTGGGTTGACTTATTTAAATACAATTAATACCAGAACAAAGAATGCCAAGGATTTTTATCACACTTTTAAACCAGATTACTTATTATCTATCCTTTTTCTTTGTTTCCATAGCATGCAGATATTCCCGAAAGCAGACTAAACCTGATATTTACAAAAACATAGTTTTAAATGATCAAGACAGTAAGTTTCAACATCAGCTAGAGAGCATGCACAGTCACAGCGCCTAATTTTGTACCTGTGATAAACTCTGGCTAAAACCAATCACATGGGAAAAAGCTTGTTGGATAAACATCTAAATCACTATTAATTTTCAGCCAGCGTAGAATGGATGTGGCTTGAGAGAAGCTGTTTAACAACAAAAAAATGAAAAAATAAATGAGTAGGAATGGGCAAGATGAAGAGCTCAATGACTAAAATGCTCATCTCTTTATCCTTCCTGTTTACAAATAAGCCGTAGGATCACCATCTTAACTAGAATTCTAGTTAAGTCAAAACACGACACTCAGGCACACACTCAAGAACAAGCAATACTTTGGGAACAGAAGAATTGTACATTTTATGATTTTCCATTGCATGTACTACATCCGTCCACTCCCCCATCCCTTTTAAGCAAATATGCTTTATATTGGAAAATGTTATTTACTCATTTAGAAGGCCACCGTAACGACTGGGCACTTGAGGCACAAAAGTAGTAGCAAATAGGGGAGATACTTAAAAAGTGTCAGCTGTCCAGGACTTATTGCCATTTCTCTGACAAAAAACAGGTGAACACATCCATGTTTCCAAGCAAGGGAAACTCTACTTCTAGAATCTCATTACTTCTGGACTTTTTCTAACTGGCTATACACATTAGCTTGGTTCGCAGCAAGTAACAAACATTTGTTCTAAGCCTGGTTCATTTGCTGATGTGACCTGCTGATAGCTATGTAATTCACTCACGAGGGCTATCTGACCTTTTATTTGACATTAAATTAAACAGACTAAACATTGCTGTTGTACAAGATAGGTTCTACTAACTCAACTGAATGTAACTTTTCAAAGTTGCTGACATAAAAGTGTGTATTTATTTTCATAAAACTACATGTAATCTAAGCACACTGCAAAAGCCAGAGTTTCTATGTTTTGTTGGGATATTAAAAATATTTTCCCACCCTTTTGGAATCTAATCATTTGGTAATGGGGCAACAGCACAATACAGAGAACGCTGAGAGGACCAAAATGTTTGCAAACAAACTTTCATTATTCTAGTTCAATCTTTCACAAACATACTGTACAGAGTCTTATATGGTATAAAACAAAAGAAAAATCTCTGTCTATTCAGTTTAACACAACACCAAAATAAAGCAATTAAGACTTTGGGGAATTCAAAGGTACAAGAAAACAAAAACGGTTATTACTAATTTCCTCAACTTTTTACCATAAACACTTGTCATTTAACATAGTGTTTGGATACAGTTTCTTTTGTACGGCAAATACTTTTGGTCTTTCCTCCCTGTAGAACAAATGAAGAATTAAAATGAACCCCATAGCATCCTCCAAAGGAGGTGAAAAGATAAAGCTCCTAGACATAGCTAGCCTATCTTTAAGAATCTATTGTTTATGAAATTTTCACAAATAAAAATACTGAATCCCCAACTAATGATGCTTATTTTGGGAAACAATAAATACTGTGAGGTACAATAAATCCTACAGGAATAACAATAACAACAGAAACATATTAACAGTTTCCTTTGGCAAATTTAACGGAAGTGAATGCTGATGTGAACATAGAAAAAATAATTACAAAAACATGAAAAATGGAAACGACATAAAAGTTAAAACAAAGGGGTATTTCTAACTTTAGACTGATGAGAGAAATGTCTGAGGCCATTAAATGCAAAAAAGAAATACATTCTCTTTAAATTATTGTGTACTGTTTGACAAAATATTCCTTGTTTATCTCTTCCTTTCCTCTCCACTTAAAAAAAAAAAAAGGAAAAAAAAAAAAAGAAAAAAAAAAAAAGACAACAAACCAGTCTGCAATGCACACCCTAATGGTTTTGGCTGCAGACTGAACTTGAGTAAATATCATCATTTAGTCAGTATGTTGTGGTAGCTGAGGCTGCCGATGTGGTTAACCAGCTCAGGCAACATGTGTAAACATCGGAAACAAAACAAAACAAAAAAGGTTTGGAGAATAGTCTCTCCCCTCTTTCTCACTCTCAATTGCTTGGTTTCAGGCTTGCTTTCATTACTCTCTGACAAATCGTGTGGGGAAACACAAAACACTAAACATTGAGAGATCCTAGTTTAAAATCCCCTTCTTCTGGCTTTTCAGAAAGGAGTGTTGCTCAATTCAAGTTTAGCACATGTTTTCAAAGCTTCCAAGTACTGCTGCTGTTAAATGCCTTTTGATTTTGTCTACCAAACAGGCCTGAATTATAGTACGACTGCAGAATTTGCAACAAATTAGACAGCCATACAAGAGACCGACCCAGTTCAGAGGATTTCTTTTGAAAGGATAAGGGTTAGGGCCTTGGAAATGAGTGTTCAACTCTTTTACTGTATTCATCTTTGTTCCGTAGCGAGTAATTTGGGCTTTTGTATCCTGAAATATTATCCTGCCTCTGAAGAATAAATGCCTTGGCTGTTTCACACCACATAATTTTGTTTTCCTTTTATGTAACTTAACGTATAAGCAAGAAGGATGCAATGTTGATTCTAATAACATTCGGCACTTGAAAGAATCACCAAGTATTTTTTTAAAAAGCGGTTTTCTGGTGGCCGACAAATTGGCCTGTGGTTATGTTGAGTGACTAATTGTATTTTCTTTTCTGGAAACTTGTGCAAAGTTGGCAGTTTTGTGTTAACACTAATACTTTGTTTGGCATTTGTGCCCTATACTGACCAGACCATTTTTATACAAGTGAATTTTTTTTTAAAAAAGACACTTACTGAAGTATGGCAATAGTTTAAGGATAAAAAAGAAGCATGGTTATTACACATCCCCTTGTAGTGTATGAAAAAAAGTGCATGACAGGATTTATGTACTAGTACAGGACATTTTAAAAAATCAGATCTGTGCTGTAAAGCATGCCAGCACCTCTTTACCACTATATCTAACAGGTAGTAAAAACAAGACCATGTTTTTTTAAAAAAAAAAAATGTGCATTAATGCTAACATAAATGAATAGAGCTAGCCAGCAAACTATTTTTTCCTGCATATCTAACAGCTGGATGTAACTGTAAAAATTAAACAAAAAAGTTAAACAACCATCAATACAATTGTTTTACATCAATGGCCCCTCAAGGCTAAATATTTACAGGTGAATCTGCCATGCTTTAATTGAAGATTCTTTCAAAACCTTAAAGTTCACAAAAGACAACTATAAGAAGTTCCTTTTTGTTTCTTTTTTCTTTTTTTTTTTTTTCCCTTTTATTTTTGCAGGCAACAGTCATGGGTACAACAAATTGTCTCTTTGGGGAAGACCAAGAATTATTCTGTCAAAACTGGGGCTAGTTGCACACTCTGTGTGTGTGTGTGTGTGTGTGTGTGTGTTTAAAGGGGTACTCTGTTTTCACCCTTAAATCAAAGATCCCACTCCTTTCCCAAAACTTTTATAAAGGGAAGTGAAAAAAATTCAAAAGCACCTAGTGTTTATCTTATTTATCTCAAGGAAATACGTGTGTGTGTATGTAGCCACAGAGCATACATTAATGCACACACACACACACACCCCAAGTACATAAGCGCACACTGACTATGGCAGTTCAAACACGTAGGCCATCTGGTGAGAGCTGGCATTTGTAGTGTCCATTCTGAGACTAATCTACTGAAGTGAAGGGAATGTTTTTGTGGAGATTAGGGTTCTGACTGTGCCGATTTCGGCTTCGTACAGAGGAAAACATCATATTGCAACCTGGGACTTTGCACTTGTGCATTTCTCGCAAATGCACGGTTTTGTAGTGCACTCTCAGGGTCCCCTTGTTGCTGTACATTTTGTGGCAAATGTTGCACATGATCCCACCATTGCTCCCAGACAAGCTGCTGAACATAAGAGATCCTGAAACTTCAGCCCCTAGGCTGCCAGGGAGGGCGGGGGCCTCGGCCTTGTGTGCCGACTCCCCACTGTCACTCGCCCCGTCAATGTCATCGAGAAGAATCCCCTCGTCACTGCCTGCGTCGGATTCTCTGGAGGAATGGATGCTGCTGCTGGACTGGAGGCTGGAGGTGGTGCTCAAGTCAAGGACCATGTAGTCCTCTGCCATGCCTCTCCCATACCCGTTCAGGTGGGAGTCTTCAGTCCCTGCGGGAGAGGAGGCATCTTCCCTGACATCGAGCCCCATGGGGTGCTGGGCACCATAGATCTTCACCAAAAATTCATCGCGGAGGTCCTTGCTAAGGGAGGGCTGCGATGAGTCCAGGCCCATGTCATCGAGTTCTTTGGTCAACAGTTTACGATGTAGGTTTATGTTGGCACTGTGTCTAGGAAAACAAGAGGGAAGGGGGGGTAGGTGGATAGGGGTTGGGGAGGGGTGAGAAAAAGGAAAGCATTTTAAAATTGATTCAGCTTTCACTAGGTATCAAATAAGCACATTCACTGCTAATTACACCATTATAAAAGCAAGCATTCCCCTATATCCTCAGGATCTGGGAGTTTAGTGGTGGTGGTGGGAGGTGCAATCAGGGGAACTTTCCATTAACATAATTTTTATAAGAGAGTAAAATCTGTCAATGGTAGGATGAATGCAAACCCATGCACCTTTTTCTCAATGATTACTGTTAGTTTTACTATGTAGCAGCATCAGCTGCAGAGAATTTCATGGCAGAGATTTTATAATATATATTAAATAGGATAAAAGAATAGAAACTTTCTGCTTGTCTAAATGGAACAGTCTAAATTTAACAAAAAACAAGAAAAAATAAACATCTTTTCTATACAGCACACACTGTATTTTGAGGTATGGGAAAAATTCATTTTTTTAAAAAGTAGTCTAGATAATTTAGATATAACTTCAAAAAACAATGAAATCTTCCTTCTCTACCCTCCACATTTCAAGCTTTAAGGAAAAACAATAGCTTAACAGATTAAGCAATTTGAAATAGGGTTACAGACTGTCTTTTAACAACACGAATGCCTTTTGTCAGAATGATTTGGTAATCCCAGTTAAATCTAATAATAAAATACATTTACTTTTTAGAAGTATGTGCATTTTAGTGTCCAAAATATTTTCATCGAGTAATTCTACTTTAAAATTTAATCATTTAAGACAAAAACTGAAAAACAGAAAAAAAAAACCAAAACCCCCAGAGGTACAAAATTAAAACACAGTAAGTACAAAAAAAAAAAAATCAAGCACAACAATAACACAGGGTTCCTCTATTTTAACAACTGGAACCCATACTTCTTAGACAAGCAAAACTTTTATTCTACTCACTGACTGCTTTGCTTGTATATATATATAGACAGGATTTGTCCCAGAGAATCCACAGGGACATCATGATTTACAAAGCCTGATATGTTATCATCTATCTGGAAACATTGTCTTTGTATTTATATCCCCCACTTATTTTTAAAGTGCCCTTGGGCATATACCTCTCTCCACCTGCAAAGGCTCACATGTTCAACAGTACCTTAATTGAAGGTTACCTTTCCAAAAAATAAACGAACGTATCTACAGATAAATAAAAGCTTCTCAATACTGGTGGAAGCTCTACAGCTTGGAGAAGTAATTGTGGTAAGAGAAATGACCTAAATGGCTGATATAAAGTTCAACAGACCTCCCGATTATACTTAAAAGTATGGAAGACCAAAATGCGTCATTCCATTTGGTGGCAAACACGGTTGATATTTCCTAGAGATGGTTGAGAGGTATGTGCCTCAGAGACAAGAAAGGTGGGGAACACTTCTCCACCTTTCCACACAAGACAATATACAGCACTCTGGGTTTTAAGGGGCAGAGGGCAGCAGCCCTCTCCAACTGCACTTAGGAAGGCTGAGCTTACCTTGTGACAATAAGATCAGCTTTCTAATCTTTTGCTAAATCGATCACAAAAGAAAGCAAGAATAAGAGACAGAGAGAGAGAGAGAAAGAGAGAGAAAGAGAGAGAGAGAAAACAAATTCACATTCTAGACATCTGGTTTTGAAAAACGTAAACAATAAAATAGGGATTTAAAACGTTCTGATCACAAAATTATTTTCTGTCATAAGCGATCATCCCATACGCTGTCTTGATGATTTTCAGATCAGCTGTATAATCCAAAAATCATAAATCAAATTAAAATAAACCAAATTCACAGCATCATCATCATCCACAAATGAGTTTTAAACAGATGCATGCAGTGTGTGGGTATGTGAATGATAAACAGAAGTTGTCCCCACGGTCCCTGCTCTGACACAGTAATTCCCCGTTTCCTTGGTGTCAGATGGCAGGTGACTCCAAGTGCAGGTTGCTAAGCAAAGTGCAGGAAATGCCTACTGTGAGGTCTTTACTCTGACATGTGGGTACACCACCAGAGTTATTACAAGAATGTGGAAGTAGAGTTACGCTATGCGCTATTATTCTATTGATAAAACAATCTGCCAACTATATGCAGCTCACGAAATCCTATCCCTGTTTATTATTTTTTAACACCCTCCCCCTTTCTTAATTTCACGAGCACACATTTTGCGATGACTGTAATCTAGAACTCTGTTGCTTCTCACACATCTGCAGTTACCACTTCCTAGGTTCACTGCTGAGAAAATAGCAGCCAGACACACAGCAGTTGCATCAAGACATACTGAATAAGGAAGAATAAATTAACATTGAGAAAAGGACACACTGATCACCCAGATGGACACATCTTCCCTAAGATGACTTGTGAAATTACACATCTCCACCAATATGTTACCAGGAAGAGATTTTCTCTTCATTTCTCACTTACAGCAGTAGAAATCTGTAATCTAATTAGACGATGTACCAGCCCTCAATATCTGTCAACCAAACGATGTGCAGAAATGTGTAGACCAGCTCTGGCACTCTGTTCAACAGTGTCCCTTTTCCGCTGTCAGCAGTACTGTTGGCCTCTGCTAATATAATTACATTGACTTTTATTCAATTAAGTGCCATCCCTCACTTTAAAAAAAAAAGCTACTTTATCAATTGATTCAGGTGTAATGCAATAATAAAGATGAACTCATGGCAGTGCATTAGCTCTGCTCTTCATAACTTCAGTGCACGGGTTCATTCATGGTAGTCGATTTCCATTATGCGACCACAGTTCACAAGAATTGATTCTTTTATGTTCAATTCTTAATCTATTTCATTTTTGTTTAATAATCCTACTAAATGCCATATGCAAAACACTTGAAGTGGAGATGGGAAGGATGGACTGAGGAAAGTCTGCTGGCACTCTCATGATAGTGGGCTTGAAGATTTTCTCACAAACTCACACAGTATTCCTAAGGTGGAAGGAAGGAAAGCACGAGAAGGAAAACAGACTAAAATTCTTTAGAGGGTACTAATCCTGCCCAAGAGGTTAGGGTTCAGTCTCCACAGAATGGACGAAAGACAGCACTTGATTTTAACAAAGACCTATTGTTGGATTCTTGAATCAGTCAATCCAGACCATTAGCTGTCATAAAATACTGTCCTCATGAGATTCAAAGACCTAGGGTTAATAGCAATTTGAGGACTATTACAAGTTTATCAGGATCAGCAAAACTGAAGAGGTGAAAAGAAAGGGAAGATGGAATAGACACAGAAAGAACTCTCACCTACTGATAATCAGATGTAGAGAGAAGACCCTAAAATGGGAGGAAGGCCAGAGAGTGCTGGAAACCGGCGGGGGACTCCCTGGCAGAGGAAGCCATACTCAGTTGTATGCAACAATTGGAACAAAGAATCCAACAAGGAACCAATTTTGAGTTCTCCAGTGATAGAGATGGTTTTTCTACAAACAGATTTAGTGTTCTGAATATTTATCTCTAGGAAAGAGGGAAGAATTATCATTAACAAAAATCTAGACTGTATCAGAACATCTTATATTCTATAAGAACATGAACAGCAGAAAGGTTTCTACTTGTTTTGATTTGGAAGGCAAGAAAGAAACATGAGTTCACAGGTAGAAGGGATAAGGATTTCGTCTTAGGAAGTGCAGTGGTAATCATTAAGGCAGTGGTCCAAACCTTAGCCCCAGATGTTCACTTTCAAGAACATAACTAAATCTTATTCAATATTATGTGTCCTGCACATGAAGTAGAATACTCTGTACAGAGGAGGTACTTAAAAGTACATTGGTTTCCCCTCCATCAATAATATGCATGAGTCTTCAGGAAGTATTTCCCAAAATACACTGTAGAAGGGAAGAAAACAATGATCCCAAGGTAGGACTCATGTAACGGAATATCCAAGGAAAGGTGGTGGCGACACTACAAATGGTGATTCTGACGCTATTAATACCCTAGTGTGTTATAAGGGAATGCCACAAAATTAGGGTATGAAAAAGCCCTGTAACTTGGGCTATGCTTGGAATTACAAATGCTTCCTTTAAACCTCTGTACTCTTTCTATACTGTGAATTTACCAAAAGCTTCTTAAAGACCAAGATCACCTTTAAAAGCAAAAAGTTATAAAACCTTGGACTGAGGGGAGGGTGCTGCAGAACCAAACTTCTTTCTTCTTTGAAATGCTGAGTGGAAGTACTCCAACTGGACTAAAGTGGACTACCAGTCTTTTTCTGTTCCTTTGATGGAAACTTTACCATGCAACCACAGAAGACATGAAATTCACCAAATGTAGTCAAGTAAGTGCAAATGCCCTTCAGAAAGAAAGCAAGTCTTGCCTTGGATTTCTCTTTTCTCATCACATTAAGTTAGATTTAATGTGATGTCTGGTCTATAAAAATTAAAACTAAAAACAAAAACACTATCTAAAGAAAGTGTTTTGAGGTTTTAAACTTGACTTTAAGATGCAGGGAAGACACGAAAAAGAAAACAAAAAACAAAAAACAAGTTGCATCACCAAATTAGAAAATAAGACTGGCAGTCAGAGACTGAATAATGAATCAAGCTATAGGCTGCACAAAGTGTCTTAATTCTTAATCAGATTTGAACTAGTCTAAACTTACTGAATTGAAACAAAATACTTGATAATTAATTAGAATGCCTCAAGTGAAAAATAATTGAGGCCCCACTTTGGATTAGTTTTTGCCTTTATTTTCCAGCTCAACTCTGCTGTTTAACACACACACATTCCCCAATTCTCAAATGATATTGTGCAGAATGATCATAATAATATATACATAGCAGATGCCATATGCATGCCTATTTGTTTATATGTATGTGTCTACATACATGTATATGGGGAGGGGGGAGAGAGAGAGATAAATTTATATCCAATCTGGGTAAGTCTAGATGCTAGGGTTAAGTATATTTTGGGACTACTGAGTCAACAATACTTTTGAGTAGATATGTAAACCTGCTATCCAAATCCACAGAAATG